CTACCGGCGGGGGACCAGGGAGGGGCGGACGCCGCCCCCGCCTCCCTCTCCCTCGAAAATTACGCTAAAATTTAGATTAGATTTGAGAGTTGGTCGGCCGCTAAATAGATTTTAAGGTAAACGTTGTTACCGCCGCCGCCGCCTCCGTCTGTGTTGTTTTGTTTGCGCGCAAAGTAAATATGGAAGACGGGGGTCCCCCCGAAGCTTTTTATTCAGATGTTTGCACCGCTACCGTTTCGCCGGCTCGTTACGCCGCTGGCGACAACGACAAACTTCGACGGCGGAAGTTTTGAAGTTTTCCATCGCCCCTGGTATAGCAAAAAAAAATCGATTTTATGCTTTTCGAGTTTTACGAACATACGTATTATTTGGAGTGCAATGGATGACAATTGCAATTATGTGCCAATCGCATTTCGTGCGGAAGAAATCAAATTACGTTGCCTGATTTGTTATACGAAAGCAAATTTGTAAGAAGATATCATATACCTATCATAGTAACACTTTTATTTTGAGAACATCAAATATGACACCATTCGATATATAGAAACATAAAGTTGTTAATACATTAGGCTAAATTTTGGACCACCCTGTATTATAACACATACACGCAACTGGTCAACGTAAAGAAACTGTAGACATAGTCATAATTAACGATACCCAAATCAAGGCATTTGCAATTACCAAAAAGACAAAATACCAAAAACATTTGGATTTATTTGTGAAATGCTTTTTATAAATACCAACATCCTTGTAGATCTGTTGACACACATATCTCTTATGTTATCACCTGCTATTGTTAGTGGCTCTTTTTATTTAGACGCAAACTTACCAAAATCCTCCTGGGGTCAGCAGGATTATAAACTTTAAACATTTTTGCATTATACAGGAATACGCTTAACTTTTTAAAGACAACTTTTTTAACGCTTTGTTATAAGATTTAGTCTATTTTGTGCGGTTTCTAAAAACATGATACGAATAATCCAAATAAAGCGAAATGGGTCAAATATTCGATTTTATCGGTTCTCATGTCGATCGGCCCACGTAACCGTCCGCCTAACCTCCTCGTGACTTTGACGTGTTCGACCTTGACTCCTTACCGCCACCCCCGCCCCCAGACGACCGACCAGCCACACCGAGCCTCTCCACGTAAAAATCAATCGAATACACGGGACCTCGGCAGAGCTCTCTCGCCGTCGTCGTAGTCGTCCCCCCTCCGGCCCCTCTTCGACCCCGCGCGCGCCCCCGCCCCGCGATGTTGAACCGATCAGTCGATCGTAGCCGGTCGGCTATTGGCCGCCGTGCCGCGCAGAATCGATACATGCTATTCTATTGCTATAGATGACTACCTATCGAACCAATCGAGTCCTATATATAGGGCATACGGAGGCTGCCCTATGTATTACCTGCTCGATCGGTTCGGGCTTATGTATAGATATATAGGTGAGTATAGATAGGAGCGGTGACTGCGGACGATCGCGTAATATACAGAGGGTACCGCGGGAAATTGCCTCGCGCGAGCTCAAAGAGGTGCGTTTTTTTCATTCGATCGACTGACGCCGTGGTTCGGCCGCCGCATCGAGCCTCGAGGTGAGATCAAAAAGTAACCAAAACTAGGGATAACTATTCTTTGTGCAAAAACGTCCAGTAGACAGCAGCTCCTTCGAGATCTCGGAAAATTGGACGGTACTTTTTTCTTGGGAGGAACTCTATGGTGAAAAGCAGAACTCGCTATGGTATGGTTTGTTTTAAATTAAATTTAAATAACTGCAGTGCAACAACAATAACAGCGATAACACCAATTACATGACGAATGATAACAGAGATTTAATTACTATCTACAAGGAACCTTAGCAACGCCTTTCTTATTAGAACCTACATTCTGAAATACCCTAAATTAAATTAATCTGACTTACCGATACACTGCTTATATTACATTACTTACTACTAGGGAAAAACTATTTATAAATTCTTCGTTTGCTGTTACAAAGTTGCATTATTGATATGCCTGTGTGTGTTATTGTGAAATTTGCTAAGTAGAATAGTAGAAATAAGGAATAAGTCCTTTATGAAGGCTATCATGAACCTGTTATTAATGTCCATTCGGAGCAATTGCGCAGTTACGTCACGACATCTTTATCTAGTTCATTACTGGATGTCCTAAATTGACTCAGGAATTTTGTTTGAATATATATAATATAGCTAAGACATACGGGGCATTTTTGATTACGTCACTATTTATTACTGCACAACTGCTTTGAGCGGAGTACAGAATGTTCGCGTCTTTCACATATAAATATATTTTTGCATCGACCCGTCTGAAATTTTTTTCAAAAAATCACTCAGCTGGATTTTTTCAAATATCTGGAGCATCCTATGGAGATCAAAAAACATGAATACAAAACGTCACCGTTTAATCCACAATGTTCCGTTCGCCACGCTTCTTTAGTCAAGGGTAATAATTTACCCTCCCAAAAGGCGCTATTTCACTTATGGCCCAATTTATTTCCGAAAAAATCAATTTTTGAGTTTTTCGCCCGTAATAGGTACTCCCTGTACATTTGTAATCTCTAGCGTCTTCCGGTTAAACAATTTTTATGACAGGTCAAAGGGTTTTCGAAAAAGAATATTTTTGTGGGATCCCTATTATACAACTGCGATTTTTAAATTTTAAAAAATACTTACCCTCAAACCCATCCCAGAAACAATCGGTTCCGTCCGAATTTCAAATCGATAGCTTCAAAAATCGCAAAAAAAATATGCCCTCCGAGTTTGCATCGCAGCCATTTTCGATTATGTTGCGAGGACAGAGCAGTGTTAAAAAGGAACCACATTTTAAAGGAATTGGACATTTTACAGAATTAAAAACAATAACTGATAACATAGTCTATCGAAGCCGAACCTTATACAGGTCGGGATGACGTGGACGTTTCCTAGAAACGAGACTATACAGAAATCCCCCGCCATTGGTCGGCGAATTCGTATATAGACCCTCAAAGTGTGTCAGGCAGCTCGCCCGGTCTGTATTTTTTTGCCTCCTCGTCCCAATATCGATTTTATATACGCCGCCCCGCTTCTCCTTCCTGCGCTTTTTCTCTTTTCGGACTTTTGCCTAATCCGTTTTTCCAATTGCCTTCCCGTTCGCAAAACGCAGACGACGTGGCATATGAGGACGTTGAAATTCGGCAGCCGTGTTTTTCGAGGGCAGAAAAAGAATTAGAACATAAATAAATGACAGCCAATAGAGTAAGACCGTGAAAAAAAAACCTCTTATTATTTTTCATGCTTTCTTCTCTTTTATCAGGATCTGAGATCCTTTACTGTTACCAGGTCAAAATTGCTTTCTTTTTTTTAACACTTCTATAGGGTGCAGTTTTCTTTGGTGCCCCATACAAGAATCACAGTAATTCACATGTGGAGATCGTGCGTTTGACAACTCCTTTTGGATGAGAGTGATATTATTATTATTAAACCAACTTTTTGTGATAGTGATGGTTATGTTTGTTTTTTTTTTTATCTTTATGTCATTTTCGTCGTTTCCTTGAATTATAACTATTAGTAAATTATTTTTTTGTTATTAAGTACCAATTTTGAAATATGTAAACCAATTGGCTGTGTTCTGGCACGTTTATATATGATTTGAAGTTTGCAAAAATAATTTTTTCCCTATGCATTGCATTTTTGTTTGAGTGTCAAATTAAAATGGTCCCAAGTCTTCAAAATTGGGAGAAACGACAGAGATATGATTAGAAGTTTTCTAAATATCTATCTTAAATTTTTTTGTCCGTTATTTAGTTCGTTTTCTTGAAAAATCACCTATATTAAATGGTATTACTAAAATAACAAATACGTTCACAATAATATATTCATAATACATATTTTCACATAAAAAATTAACGCGCTTTACAACATTATGAATCCAAAATAAAATAATCTTCTTTCGAGAAGTAAATATTTATGCATAAGTTTCTCCATATTAGTATTCTGTACCTACATTTTTTACTCTCTCAAAGCTAAATCTCTAAAGAGTGCAATGGATTCAGCAAGTTTCAAGAAAGAGGAGTAGCCATCTTTTTTTTTATAGTACATCAGTACATAGTATTTAATGTAACTTGAGTGATATCAAATGTGTAAAAAGGAAATTTAGTCTTTCGACTACTCACTGTTTACAAGAGGTACATAAAATATTATTCGAGAATTTAAAAAAATATATCAATTTAAGAACAAAAAGAGAATCGAAAACAGCAAATAAAAAAAAAACAAACAAAGTAGTAAATACAAATTGGAAAAAAGGTAACAGCTGAAGGGCAAGCACATAGTATTTTGTAAAGTAATTTTGCAAAACATTAGCTTTTGGGTACAGATTCACTCACTGAATGGCGTGTGATGTAACCCTCAGACCCGACAAACGTCAAAATACCATTGAACTGAGGTGGCTTTTACTTGATGAAAATCCGTTTATCAAATTAAATAAGAACTAAAAGTTCAGATTTTCAAGAAAATTATATATTTTTAAATGACAATTGTTTCGATAATTCAATTTAAATTTCGGGAAAATCTGAACTTGCAGTTATTATTTATTTTCAAAATACCATAGCTAAAATCTACCGTGGCTAAAGTATAGCGGAACCGTCCAAGGTGGCTAGAGGCCGTGGTTAACGAAGCTATAGTCTTAAGCTGCCACTTTGGGCAAGCGCAAGCGCAGTACAGAACTGAGTATTTTACATCGGGACGATGATGATGATGATTATTATTATTTTACGCCATTAATTCGAATGATACAGTTGCCGATATTTCTTTCCGGTATGAGCGGTTCAGAGTCCTGCCCGTGGTCCCCGCTGTGCAGGTACAACGACGCGTCGCGACGCTCCGAAAAAAAAAAACAACGGGCCGACTAAAAAATCCACTCTTCGTATTGGCCGTCGCCGATATCGAAAAGCCATCAACCAATAGCCGCCCGTTCTACCCGATATATACTTCCGATCGAACCTATGTATACATACCGACGGTATATGTATCGACGTCAAGAGACGCCCGATCTGGCATCGGTGGTGGGGAGCGGACCGTTCGATCGGGTTGGGCGGATATCGTAAAAAAGTCCATCGGCTCGGCTGCTCCCCCGCGCCGTCTTCCCACCCCCGCCAGGACCCGCGTCGCGCAACACCCTTCCCCCCTTTCCGCCGACCTCCCCCCCACGCCCTCCGCGTCGCCGCGACCTCGCGACGACCCTTGACCCCGCCGTCGAAGCAGCAGTTCGACTCTTAGTGCGCTCGTATAGATGTTCGATTTTTGCGGCGGCTATCGTCGTGACGCCGACGCCGTAGCCCCACGAACGTGGGGGGAGACGCCCCGCCGACGGAGGCAGACGACGCTGCATCTGGATGCCCGATCGCAGGAAGCGTATCCGTCGAGCGCGGTGGAAAAATGAAATTCGCCTGGTCTACGTTTCGAGGGCAGGTTATGGTTAGTTATCGACATTCACTCCTCCTCCCTCCCCACCGCTTCGGACGTATGCGTGCGTATAGGTATTCCAACCGGACGCCAAGTTTGGAGGAAGATCGCTGTCGTTTTTTGGGTTCACTTCACTTCTCCTATCATCATACTTTTCCTAATGAAGCGGCTGTTATCCACTCTGTCCAAGATAAGAATGTCTATCATGGGGAAATTGTAAACCACAAAAGTTGTATCTCTTATGGTATCCAATGTCCTCATGATAGACTTCTTTGGCTCACTGCCTACAGATTTAGAGGCCTTTCCAGTAGAGTTATATACTATTATTCTCACATTTAGTCAAGAGTTACAATTAAAGCACAAAATTAAAGAAATATTGGCCATAGCTTCTTGATTGATTAAATAAATCACTTTCTCTTTAGTTATACTGTGTTCTTCTTGGTAGAACCGCATCTGCGGATTTTCGGTTGGGGTGGCTGCAAATCATTTGACTTGCTATTCTGACAAACCAAAATTATGGTTTTCAAATTACAAAAAACCTTCCTCAAAGTGAGAAAAAAATATATTCCAATCTAAAAAATGTAAAACACAAAAGTCCATACCATCACTTTACCAAGATGTAAAATCCTTTCACAAATTTAACATTAATTTATGTTATATAAGGTAAATATATAAAATAAATGTTTTGTCTATTTAATAATGGCAACATTATAGGGAGATTCACTTCATTTTTTCTCTTGGTTTTGTAACATTAAGGAGAATTTTTTTCTTATAGTTTATAAAGGGAAGGAAAACATATACGAGGTGCGTTCAAAAAGTAGGGTGACTTTTGTCATTGGGCTGGCTACGTGCGATCGATCTTGGTTTTTTTTGTTATGTTGATACAGATGCAAAAAGAATGCAAAAAAATGTTTATAAGTGGTACAAGCCAATGATAGACGCCGATAACGAACCTAGCTCTGTGAAGTGAAAGAAGTGGTGTTGAAAAATCGTTGAATCACTATTAGAGATGTGACTGAAGAGCTTGGCATCTCTATTGGCTCTTGCTATGCAATTTTTTCCCAAGTTTTGGGCATGAAACGCGTAGCAGCAAAATTTGTTCCGAAACTGCTTAATTTTAAACAAAAGGACTGTTGAGCGAGCATCGCTCAAGGGCTGTTAAACAATGTAAATGATCCAGTTGTCCCAGAATTGCCAAGACCGAAAGAAGCACGTCAAGTTCGATCAAATGTAAAGGTTTTCTTTGACTATCGTGGCGTAGTACATCAAGAGTTCTTACCACAAGGTCGTACCATCAATAAACAATATTACCTTGAAGTTATGCCCCGAGAAGCAATACGAAGAAAACGCCCCGAATTGCGGAGACACCAAAATTCATGGATTTTGCATCACTGCTCAAGAAATTCCAGAAACCTATAAAAATAGGAAGGTTTAGAACGATTGAGGAGATTAAGGAAAAACGGCTATTCCGGAAAATGCTTACCAGAAGTTCTTCGAGAACGGGAAAAAAAGTTATCACGAATTATATCTGGTAAATTGATAAATAAATACTTTTTGATCAAACTTAAGTCACCTTACTTCTTGAACACACCTTGTAAAATTATTATGAAATACAAAAATTGTAAGTAAACGACAAGTATTTGGTCGTTCCTAACTAACAATTTGTTCAAGTATATTATTATTATGCCTCGAATTAATTTCTTAATTAATTTTGATTATTTCTTAAAAGTATTATTTATCCTTTTGGAACCAGTGTCCACTGCGCTTATTTGCGTGCTACTTTGCTTATATTCACTTAAATTAAAGAAAATCTTGTTATATCTTATTTATATTACCAATTTAATATTATACTATATTTAAATTTGGAAAATATGTTGACAAAATTTCACATTTATCGCATATCGGCAAACGCCCCCGAGTGTGTGTGGTTTTTTTTTCGGGTTTTTGGTAGCGGATTTTTCCACACGGGCGGGTCGGGATGCGACGCCCGATATCCTACGGGAACGACGCGCGCCGCCGCGACGTTCTATAGATTCATCGCGTGCTATTCGATTGGCCGATGGGTTTTCGATATCCACGTGGCCGATTCCCGATCGGACTCGTCATTGGTTCGATTGATTTTGTTTATCGGGATATCGGCGAACCAATCGGTTGGTTTTAGTTGCGCTACGGCATCTACTTCGTAGTATGTCCGGATTGTAGGCCATTCAGAATGTTCAGTTTGGAAAAAAAAGGGTAAAAATGCGGTTAGGCTTGAAGTATTTTGCCTCTGAAGAATGGCCAAAAGTCGCTTTTTAAGGAGGTCAATAAGATGTAAAATTATTTTAAAAGGGTTGTGCATACGTATATTTTTTCGGCAAATTTAGTCATTATTGCAGCTCGCTAGTAAATTGAAATAAAATCCACACATCTCGCAAAGCTCTTTCTCCTTTCTACTACGAAATATAAGAGACGCCGTGCCTCTGGACATGTGGTGTTTTACACTGAGCATTAGCGACCCACTTGGATCAAGTTTTTAGATAGCAAAAGCTCACGGCGAAATATAATGGGTGTTTTTTTTCGTTTAAGTTGGCATTACTGTTCAAGATGGCGACCCATTTAACAGCTGTCAAGTGTTTTATTCTCAGTTTGGTTTGGCAATTCATCGTGAATAGACTCACGCCTGAACAACGCTTGCAAATAGTGCAATTTTATTTCGAAAATAATGGTTCTGTGCGGAATACGTATCGCGCACTACGTCCATTTTATCGTCGACAAAATCGTCCATCAGAGCAGTTAATTCGATTAACCATGGAAGGTTTTCGCACCACGTTTACTCTTATTGATAACTCGCATCCCCAGAGACTATTGTTGCTGTAGATCGTAGCATTGAGGAAGACTCGAATTGGATTTGTGTCCATACACTTTATGGAAGATTTTGCGGAAGGATCTTGGTTTACGTGCTTACCAAATCCAACTCGTGCAAGAATCGAAGCCAAACGATCATCACGTAAGGCGTAGATTCGTCGAATGGGCCCAAAACGAGATTGCCGTTGGTCCCGATTTTCATAAGTGAATTTTGTTTAGCGATGTAGCGCACTTCTGGTTGAATGGCTACGTCAACAAACAAAACTGCCGCATTTGGAGCGAAGCTAATCCTCAAGTGTATGTCGAAACACCGTTACATCCAGAAAAACTGACTGTTTGGTGCGCTTTATGGGCTGGTGGAATCGTTGGTCCGTACTTCTTCAAAAACAATGATGGCCATTTTTTTTTAGAAACAGGTCAAAATAAGTGACTCACTATCTGTCAAAATATTTCACTTTATCTTGGACCAAAACTATATTATCATGCAATGAATGTTGTGGATGCTTGAATGGGAATGAGAGTCTTTTCAAGGGTTCAAAGCGATTAAAATAGGAAAAGGGTACGTAAAAGTAACTTTTCATTTTTATTTTAAGTTTCCTATCGTAAATTTGTTAGTCGCTGCCCCAACTACCAAAACTATATCTCCAAATTTACATATGTTTAAAAGCTCTCACGCAGGCCGGCGCCCAAAATAAAGAACTTTCGCATCACCAGACCAGACGGCAATTTTTTTTTTAATTTTTTAAAGAAACTTTCACAGGCTGCTGTAATACTTTCTATTGAGTCGAACTACCCAACGTTTCGATTATCATTCTGTTGGCTACTTCAGAGCTTTACTGGAAATGTCTGCTCTCACGCGAAAGTCCTTTAGTTTAGACGCCGGCTAGTCCGTTTGATCGATTATTGAATACTTGTTACAGTGTATAAGCTGTTTTGTAACTAATACAAATTGTGAGACTGCAAATTCTATTATTATATTGTTCAAATTTTCATATTTTTGAATACCTTAATTTCAATATTATATAATATAATTCAATATTGAGAGCTTTGTTTTCTAAGCTCCCCTCATATACACACATATACACACACTCAAACAAAACAAAAATAATGATTTGCACATCTCTCGTTTTTGAATCGCGTTTTTAATTGGGCAAACAATCCGACAAACAGGCAAAACGGAATCCAAGATGTTACGTCCCGGCCCCTTCCGTCTCCCTTTCATTCGGTTTTCAGACGCGTTAGGCCGGTACCTGTGGCGGAAAAAATATTTTTTTAATTCCGAATCAGGCAAATAGGGATTCGACAGCTAACAAGACGACACAACTCGCCTATAGTCGTCGGTAACTTCGGCTCGTTATTTCGAGAAGGTTCGCGCGAAACGTCGTCAAAACTAACCAAACTTTCTTCGCGACAAAGACCGAGCTACGAAAAAAAACGAACACACCCGCACTCACAAGTGCATACGTGTAAAGGAACGAGCACGCTTGAGTAGTTTCCTTGCAGAAAATAGAGTCAAGTGTTTTGGATCGTACAAGCGAGCTCGAAACAATTGAAGCGCATTTTCACTCGACGCCGCTTTGTTTCTGGGTTTGTGAGGAGCGGGAGCTCACCTCGCCCACTTGATAATATCGCAGCGTAATTTTTCCCGAAGACTTATTTGTAGTTTCGTCGGGAACGTGTCGCGTAGCTGCGTTCGGGAACTTTATTTCCGGAAAATAGGGAGTAAACATCTGGAGCCTTCGTTTTATTTTCCTTGGCCACCTCGCAAGCTAGTAATCACTATGTACAAATCGGCTACTTCTTATGATGTGCGCG